CCCCCGGGCAGGTCTAGACAGGTCACCTGAGGACACTCGCCGGAAAATAGTTACTTTGCTCACGCATCCGCCAGCAAGGGACGTGCCCTAATTGAGTGATTGGAATGAAAGATGAATACAGTTTGAATAAAATTTTCTCTTGTGCTAAGGGAAACTGAGTTTTATTTGACTCTGTGTCCCCAGAATGTAGCAAGGTGCTGTTACATGGTAGAGTTACATAAAGATTTGCTCGATTAGTGAACTGGCTACTAATTAATATGCTGGCCTAGGATGCACTAGAAGCTAGTTTTGATGGAAATTTTTCATAAATATTTACTGAGCCCCCAGTACCTGCGAGACACACAGTGCTAGGTGCTGGGTATCCAAAGCTAGAGAACAAGATTCCTGTCCTAGTGAAACACACTGTCTAACGGGAGACATAGCTCATTAAGCAAGTAAGTAATCACAAGCGTGATAAGTGATGGGGTTCAGGACACGCTACTCCAAAACATGGCACCTTGGTGAATTGAATATTGTAAGCTGAAGGAGTTTCCAGAAAACCTGCAGAAGCTGGTTTAAGGTCACTCATACCCACTCCCCCCATCTCCCAACCTCCCCCAACACCACCTACGCCCCTTCCCTCCCAACCCTTCTTCCCAAAAACAGGTCATAAAACCCTCAGATGAGAGGTGCCCGCCTCATCCCAGGAGGAAAGGAACACCCTTCTCTCCGAAGAAAAAGGAACACCAAGAAGAATCCTAATAAACGACCCTTGCTACATGTCCCCAGTGTCCTACACCTACCTCTGACCTGCACTAGTCCTCCAGCACCCTCCACTCTCCATCAGACATAACAGAAAAATGCACGGGTCTGTGCCTTTTGGTCTTCATTTCCTTATGAGGGCTCCCATGTCACATAAAACTTGCATTAAAATAAAGTCATACGCTTTTCTCCTGTTAAACTGTCTTCGTTGGCATGATTTTCAGACTCAGCCAGCGACCCTAAAGAGGGTTGAGGAGGAAAGTTTTCTCCTGTCCTACGGAAGCATTGCAAAGTAATACCTGTGTGGGACCTTTACAACAATGGCACTCATCCTGTTCCGGGTTCAGGCAAGGCCTCCTTTAGAAAGTTAAACTGAGTGACTTTCAGGATGGGTAAGACCCACCAGATGGAGAGCGATAAAGAAGACTATTCCAGGGCATGTGGAGGAACAGTACATACAAAAGTCCCAGGACCTTGAGAGACATGCCGTGTTGAGGATAAGTGTCCCATGGGGCTGGGCGAGAAGAGCAATGTGCCCAGAACTGGGTAAGTAGGCAAGAGCTGGATCATGTAGTGCCTAGTGAACCACATTAAGGATTGATTTTTCTTAGAAAGTCTGTTTACTCATCCTGGGAGGTGGATGACTTACTGGTCTCCCCTCCAGCGTTATGATCTGAATAGCACGTGATCTCCTACCAAAAATTTTTACCTTCTCCCTTTTGTCTTAGACTGCCACACAGAAGTTCCTTCTTTAGACGACTTCTGGAAGATGGGTAGGGGTAGGGTTCCAGGCTTTTCACAATTAATTCATTCCTTAATCGTTATAGCAAGAAGCACGATTCAGGAGGCAACAAAAATCTAAAGGAAGACAGAGACACCAGGGGTACCAAATCTAAGGTATTTGATCAGTCCCAAGTCTGTGTGTCCAGGGAGCCAAGAGCGCTTATGTAAGAGAACTTTAAAAATGAGAAATCAACTGGTACTTTCCAGAGATTTTCAGATACGTCAAGACAGAGAATAGAAAAACCCTTTGAAAGCCTCTTCTTAACAGACCTGCATTAAAAAAGATTTAGGAGATTAAACCTTGATGCTTTCATATAAAACCTAAGTAGAACCAACCAGAAAAGAATTTTGCCTAAATATGCCATCAAGTCCCCTTCAGGAAACGGCATGCTGATGCCTGCCAGGTCTCCGTGGTTGGTTGGGTGTTTATCCTCCAAACACTCTGTGTGGCCAATTAGGAGAAGTACTGATAGTACTTTTAGATTTCAGCCCGTGAGTCTTTTTCCTTTTTTCCCCCCTCCTTCCCCATTATAAGTCTTTTTGCCAGTGCAGAAAACACATGCGTCAGGAACACTGATGCAATGAGACGCTAATATCAGATTGCATCATGTGATCCTAGGTGTGGTGCTCCTGAAACTGGTTTTTCTTGAGGTGGTGCTGCAGGAGAAAAGCACTTTGGGGATAACACCCAAGAACTGGCCCTACTTGTCAGATGGCAGAAATAATTTTTGCATGTACATGCCTGGGTTCCACACCACTATCCTCCTAGGGAGAGGCGATGTGGCTTTCCTGGCTGAAAGGGGTGTCCTGGAGACACTGATCAGGTAGGCGTGTCCCGCTGCCGCTTAGGTAATGAACGTTACCTAGGGAGGCGCACCCACCAGGCCGACTGGAAATGACACTTCCTTCTCCGAAACTCGCTCTGAGTTGTACCTCAATTTCATCGAGCAGCACGTCTCTGGGGACAGACCGGTTCGGTGCAAAACTGGAAGAGGAGAAACGAAGAAGGTGGCCGAGATTTCTCGGGCACTTCTAGGTGGCTAGCCCTGTGTTACAAGCACTTCACACGAGGAAATGTGGAAATGTGGGTTCCAGCCGCCAGCCTGCCATCACCGAGCCCCACGACAGGCTGTTTGGCCTCTTCTGGTGTTCGGTGAAGTCGTATGTCAAGTGAGATTAGGTGGCATTGAAGGTCCCTCTCAGAAGCAGAATGCCATTCACCTTGGCCACATAAAGCTGCAACTCCAGGGTCTATAAAAAAAAAAAATGATCACGGAGCATGAGAAGAATGCTAATGACCAATGGAAAATTGGTCCCGATGGTCTGTGTTTGTACAGTGGGTTAGGGTAGGATGCTCTAACTTGGATCTCTACCTTCACCGTCCAACATGGTAGCTATTGACTATACTGAGCCCTGGAAATGTGGCTTCATGCAAATTATGGTATGCTGCAGGCATACCAACACCGAATTTCAAAATCTTAGTACCATAAAAAAGAATTTGAAATATCTCATTAATAATTTTATCATCCTGATCACATGTTGAAATGATCATATTTTTGGCATTAAGTCAATGGAATATTAAAATTACCATCACCTGTTTCTTTCTACTCTTTCCAATGTGGCTACCACAAAATTTTAAATTACTTCCTTAAAATTTTGCAGTTCACATGTTATTTCTATTGGACAGCACTGCCTTTGAAAGCATATCTAGAAAACGGGTAATTTGCTCTGGACCCAACACTTTCTGCCTCTGCTCTTGAGTTTTCCCACCTGTTAAATGGCAAGATAGAGTTTGTACTAAATTTCTTTTGGGGTTACTTCTGGAAGAATATTCCCTGATTCTGAGAACAGTAATTGCTGGGGGAGGGATCCTTGCCATAGTGTCTGGAAAGGTGTTTTCTGGGAGAGGAAATTCCTCTAATTCTATTTCTGC